CACTCCCGCCGCACCGAGCCTCATCCGGCTCAGTCCTGGGCAATGACCCCTACATCTGAGTCAGTCCTGAATCGTTCCCACGAACACCTTCCAACAACTACTTCCCAAGGTTCCGTAGCCATTTGGCTCAAGCAATTTGGCTCGAGGGTGGGAATTTGCCCGCACTCTCACACAAACACCAAGCTACTTCTTCCATTGAGTCTTCTGGTACGGTAATGACCAGGGGAAGATCATGCATCATCTATTACGCGGTGGCGCTCCTTGCGAGTATACATGCGCAGGCCGTGAATTCCACGCAGATCCAGTTCACTGAGACGCACTCACTTGTCCGCGCCCAGGCGACGATTTCGGCATCATACTGGCGCGTGATGAATGCCGGTGTGACGAATTGGCGCCCCGCGGTCGCATCCGTGTACTGGTACGCGGATGTTGGTTGCACAACCTTGCTTACCAACGGACAGGGACCGCAATCTGTGTCGGATGTGGGAACGTTATGCTCTGGGTACGATAATATATATCAGAATTGGAACAGTGGGGGATGCCACTTGGCTGACGACGGATCATCTTCAACGTCGTGGCGCCCGCAGTGTGGTCCTTGTAGTGCGCGTGAGGCGTGGATTGGTGTTCGGTTTCCAGCGGCGATCAACGTCATGTGTGCTTCGGCATCCAATCTAGGACTCGACAGCGTCTCGGGTTGGGGGTGGAGTGGAGGCATTGTGGTGCAATCGTCAGACGATGGCCAGACCTGGCAGGACGTTGCTGCCGTGGTCAATTCGAACACTGTGTCGTTTTCGAACCCGGCATCAACGCCAGCAGCAACGCCCGCGCCCACGCCCGCACCAACGCCTGCACCGACGCCAGCAACACCCCCCACACCAGCGACCAACACTGCATCTGCAACTGGAGATCCCCACTTGCGAAACGTTCTTGGTCAGCGGTTCGATTTGATGAAGCCTGGTCAGCACGTGCTGATAAATATCCCTCGCGGGGAGCACCCTGAAAAAGCCTTGCTTCGTGTTCAGGCCGATGCGCGACAATTGGGTGGAGGCTGCGCAGACATGTACTTCCAAGAGTTGAATATTACAGGGTCTTGGGCAATCGCAAAACACATTGTGGCCGCGCGCTGCGTCGGACGGAGCCGGTTCGGACCCCTCAGTTACAGTCAGTTCTCCTCAGTTACACTCAGTTACACTCAGTTTCCCTCAGTTACAATCAGTTTCTTTCAGTTACACTCAGTTTCCCTCAGTTACACTCAGTTTCCCTCAGTTACATTCAGTTTCCCTCAGTTATATTCATATTCCTTCAGTTGCGTTCAGTTTCCTCTCGGTTGCATTTAGCTTTCCTGGCACTGTGTTTGCGGCTTGGTATCCTACACCTGCAGCTTTTTTCTGACGCAAGGAACTGAGACGAAATTGAGGGAAAACTGAGGGGGACAGCGGCGCCCCTTTGTCAATACCTCCCTTCGCCCCCTCTTTTCAGTTTCCCTCAGTTGCACTCAGTTTCTTCTCGGTTGCATTTAGCTTTCCTGGCACTGCGTTTGCGGCTTGGTATCCTACAACTGCAACCTCTCTCTGACGCAAGAAACTGAGACGACACTGAGGGACAACTGAGGGGTACAGCGGCGCCCCTTTGTCAACACCTCCCTTCGCCCCCTCTTTTCCCATCTTCTTCCGCCATCCTTCCTCGCTGCTCTGCCTCCCTTATGTTCCTTCCTCCCCCTCCCTTATCCTTGTCCTGTTCCTGCTGTTGTTGCTCCTCCTCCTCCCCTCGTGCTTCGGGGTATCAGGCTTTCCGGGGTCGCGACCTCATGACGATGATGATGATGATGATGATGATGATGATGATGATGATGATGATGATGATGATGATGATGATGATGATGATGATGATGATGATGGTGATGATGATGATGATGATGATGATGATGATGATGATGACGGTGCGTATGGCGATGAGGACAGGGGGGTGATTGTGGCGGACGGCGGGGACGAACGACATGATGTGTTGAGGACAACGAGGAGGAGGAAGAGGAGGAGGAGGAAGAGGAGGAGGAGGAGGAGGAGGAAGAGGAGGAGGAGGAGGATGGTGGTGGTAATGGTGAGGGGGATGAGGAGGAGGAGGAGGAGGAGGAGGAGGAGGAGGAGGAGGAGGAGGAGGAGGAGGAGGAGGAGGAGGAGGAGGAGGAGGAGGAGGCGTGTGGCGCCGCCGGTTCTGGCTCACCACGCTGCGGCGCCGCATGCTAAGCACGATCCGGTCCCACAGCGCACAGCGTCATTTCCTCGAGCTCCTGCCAGCCTCCCGCCCCACGGAGCGGAACGACACGCTATCAGCTCGCCAAGACATAGCGTGCCGCCAGGGGCGCCGCTGCGACACGCCCAGCAAAAGTCCCTGGCCGTAGGCTTCCTGGCGGTTTTGGGCCTTGGCTGGGACTGCCAGCGCGTCCTTGTCGCCATGAGGCCAGGTTTTCCAGAGAGATATTCGGCAGGCTGCAAGCACCACGTGGGGCGTTTCAGAAAGGGCCTTGCCTTCAAGGGTCGAAGGAGTTGTCATCTCTTCCTCGGCGGAAGGCAGCGGAAGGGCGGCGGAAGGTCGTCGGAAGTAGAAAATGTCCCCCCAAGAGATGAAAACAATTTTGGGTTCAAGGTCTCCGAAACCGCCCACATGAGAGGTCCGAGGGGCCGACAGGAACGGGAGGGGCCCAGATTTCCAGGTGCCGTCGAGGCATCATCGGGGGCGCCAGAGAGGGACTACAGGGCGGCAGTCGTCCGGGATTGCGTTTCCCATAGCTTAAAGTTATGGGAGACGCTATTGTGGCTCAGTGAGTGCGGTTTTTGAAAGAAAATTACGTTTCCCATCACTCGCGAGGTGTAGGGCCTCGTCCAGGGAGGTTCTTTGCTGGCGTTTTCGTGGGCTCCCTGGGGTTTTGCCAGCCTCCGGATGCTCAGCCGCAGCCGCGCCTCGCCAGGAGCGGCCCCCCAGGTGTGCCCGGATCGTCCCGTGAGAGGCCGCCGGAGACCGGGTGTGGCGTCCTGAAAACACCAGGCGCCCGACAGGGGGTCAGGATTGTGACTTATTCTTTTTCTTCTTCCTCTTCCTCTTCTTCTTCTTCGTCATCTTCTTCTTATGTTTCGTCTTCTTCTTCCTCTTTCTCTTCTTCTTCTTCTTAGTATTAGTTTTCCGATATTTACATTATTATTATTTTCGTATTCGTATTTTTCGCCCTCTTCGTCATAACACTGATGGTTACCATTGTGTCTTGTTATGTTGTATTTGGTATTGTTTTCTTGTTATCATGATTGCTCTTCGCATTCGTATGTGTACTCTCATTCGTATTCGCATTCCTATTCGTGTCATATGTATTTTTCCATAAGTACTATCAGTAGTTGTGATGTCTATGATCAGGAGACCATGAGTATTATCATTCTTTTCGTATAATTCATATCATTTTTATCACTCTTATCCTTATTATTGACAGTATTATTATTATCACTATTATTATCACTATTATTATTATTGTTATTATTATTTATTATTATTATTATTATTATTATTAATATTATCATTTTTGTTCTTCTTCTGCTTCTTTGTTCAACACTCTCCAAGGCCCCCGCTCGTCCGCGCCCCATGCTTTTGGCCCCAGTGCGCACCACCCCCTCTTCCTGGCCCCCCTGGGTCCGAGCAGATGGGTTGGAGGATCGCGCTGCATCGTCGATGCATCGGCGATGCGGCCCAATGTGGAGCTCGATTTTCTCCGCGCTGGCGTCGTTGATGCATCGCCGATGTCGCCGATGCATCGGCGATGTATCGCCGATGTATCGCCGATGTGTCGGCGAGGTTGTCTTGAAAAATGAAACCAGGATCGAGTACCGAGTATAGGATCGATGACCGAGGCGAGGATCGAGGACCGAGGTTCCAGGTTCGAATGCCTGCACTCCGATTCAGACTGATTGCGTCATGCCTTAACTCGGGTAGCTGAGGGAAACTGAGGGTAACTATGTGTAACTAGGTGTAACTAGGTGTAACTAGGTGTAACTGGGCGTAACTAGGTGCAACTAGGTGTAACTAGGTGTAACTAGGTGTAACTAGGTGTAACTAGGTGTAACTAGGTGTAACTAGGTGTAACTGGGTGTAACTAGGTGTAACTAGGTGTAACTAGGTGTAGCCGGAAGCGCTCTCATGGCGTTTGCTGAGACGCTCGTTGCCGGGACACTGTTAACATTAATATTCTTATTAGTATTAGTATTCGTATTAGTATCAGTATTCGTATTCGTATTAGTACTAGTATTCGTAGTAGTATTCGTATTCGTAGTAGTATTAGTATGAGTATTAACATTTGTATGATTACTCGTGGCACGAATACTAATCAAGAGCAGTGAGAATAATACGAATGCGGGTGCTTGTAACACAGATAATGGGGCTACTGCTATTAAGACAACGGGTGCTATTAATACGAATGCCACTACCGTTAGTATCAATGATAACACGCGTACTAATACTAATACTGGTACGTCTGTGAATGGTATTATTTGTGTTAATGACTTCACGACGCAGATTACTGATACCAAGACGAACACGGATACTACTAGCACGACGAATGCGAATGATAGTGGTACTATAGTTAGGGACGGCGTTCGTACTTATCATACTCTGAACAATGGTAAGAAGAAGGAACACAATATGTAATACAGTGCGGGCAGGGCATTTCTATTATTACGAAGCGTACACATCGGCAGAAGCATCAACTTTGGAGATCCGCGCGGATCTCTTGGAATGGCGCTGGGCCTCCCTTCCTGTGCCTCTGGCGTCCCCCCCCCGCCCCCCTCCCAGCGTGCTCCGCGCGCCAGGGAGCGGGGTCCAGCGCCGATCCATGAAATCAGCGCCGACCTCCGAAAGCTTCGCTTTCGTCCCGATTTTGCTTCCTCTCTGGATGCCCCCTTTCGGAGCAGGCCGTGGGTACCGTCGGGTCTGGCACGGAGAGCGCGCGCTCTCGCACTCCCCGCAGGCCGACTTCTCCGCGGAGGAGAAGGAGTTGATGGAGGCGGCGGGCTCCTCCCTTGCGCTGGGATCTGCTGCTCCTGCTGCTGCGCCTCCAGGGGGACAGGGGGGGCCGAGGAGGAGGGATCGGGAGAATGGATGCGCCAGCGAGGGATACAGGTATGGACAGAGGCGGAGGAGGAGGCGGAGGAGGAGGAGGAGGAGAAGGAGGAGGAGGATGAGGATGAGGAGGAGGATGAGGAGGAGGAGGAGGAGGATGAGGAGGGTATGGAAGAGAGTGATGATGATGCTGCTGCTGATGATGATAATGACGATACTGATGATACTGACGATGCTGATGATGCTGATGCAGATGCTGCTGCTGACGCTGATGATGAGGATCACGACGATGCTGATGCTGATGATGATGCTGATGGTGATGATGACGATGATTATGCTGATGATGACGATGATGCTGATGCTGATGATGAGGAGGACAAGGAGGAGGAGGACGTGGAGAATAATGAGAAGGATGATGCTGCTGCTGATGCTGATGATGACGATGCTGATGAGGATGCTGATGATGATGAGGATGGTGATGATGAGGGTCAGCATGGTGATACTGATGATGATGATGACATTGATGATGCTGATGATGATGCTGCTGCTGATGATGATACTGCAATGAATGATGATGATGATGCTGCTGCTGATGATGATGGTGCTGGCGATGATGATGATGATGATGATGATGATGCTGATGATGATGATGATGATGACGGTAATGATGGTGATGATGGTGGTGATGATGATGATCATGGCGGTGATGATGATGATGATGGTGATGATGCTGATGATGATTCTGATGATGATGTCGATGATGATAATGATGGTGATGATGATGATGATGATGAGTATGAATGTGCTCATGCTGATGATGATGACGACGATGACGATGACGACGATGATGATAATGATGCTGCTGATGATGATGACGATGAAGATGGTGACGATGACGATGACGATGATGCCAATGTTGATGATGATGATGATGCTGCTGCTGATGATGATGGCGTTGATGATGCTGCTGATGATGATGATGAGGATGGTGGTGATGATGATGATGGTTTTGGTCGCGGTGGCCATGATGCTTATTATGATGATGAGGATGATAATTATGATGATGATGCTGATGATGATGATGATGATGATGGTGATGGTGATGGTGATGGTGATGATGGTGATGAGGATGATGATGATGATGATGATGATGATGATGATGATGATGATGATGATGAGGATGATGATGATGCTGCTGATGATGATGATGCTGATGCTGATGCTGATGCTGATGCTGCTGCTGATGATCATGATGATGATGATGATGATGATGATGATGATGATGATGATGATGATGATGATGATGATGATGATGACCATGCCGCCCCGCCGCCGACGACGACGACGATGAGGACGATGATGACGACGATGGACGGCTGCGAGGCTGGGGGCGCGGAGGCCGGCCGAGGAGGCGCCACAGTATCTGCCAGGCATTCTGTCCGATGCAGGTTGTGTAGGAACACCTGAGAGGTGTGTTTGAGTTCCATCGATGCATGTTTTTTCCCTGACTCTACCGCACAAGGCACGCCGCTCCCGCCAGCGGGACGAGACGTCTTAGGGCGCTCGATCGGACGTTCTGCGTTCTGCGTTCTGCAAGCGCTGCGACACCGCTCCTGGCGAGGGGGGGCGCCCCGCCCAGACGCTGGGAGGTGCGCCTCTCGTCGACCCGCCCAGGGCCGTGCGGCGCGCCCGCTGCCGCCCTCCAGCTCGGAGGCCCCTCCTGTTCTTCGGCTTCGAGTCAAGGGAGCCTTCCTGCTTGCGCTCCATTCCACTCCACTCGTCCTCGGGTCGCCTGCGGCCCCAGGGGAAGCCGTGCAGGCGGTGGGGCTTCGGAGACGGCTTGGAAAGCTTCCCAGGAGGCCAGATGCCTCTTGAGCCTCCTGGGAAGGCTCGCCCCCTTTGCCTTCCCCCCCTGGGCGTGCCGCCGAGAGGATGAGCAAACGGGAATACAGTGAGCGGCTGGAATAAGTCAGGCGATCGCAAACATGGATCAAGGGGGCGTGAATTAGCGACGGGTCCCGTTTCCATGAGGAATCCCGGATTGCCGCCGCCGAGCGAGGCGACACGGGCCGCACTTTGGGGAGGCCACCTCCCCCGATCCATGGATTTGGCGACCGCGCGCCAAATCCATGGATCGCTAATCCTTGTTTGCGCGCCCCCGATTGTATGCCCTCGTAATTCTGTCTTTAAGGTGCACTGGCGGCGATTAGCGTCTGGTTCTCGATGATTCAGCGTCAATTTGGCGTCGATGAGCGTCGATGGGCGTCGTTTAGCGTCGATTGAGCGTCGATTAGCGTCGATTCGCAAGAGCCGACAAGATGGTGTGGGAGGCTTCCATGAGTTGCCACCGAACTCTTCCGGCGCGCGGAAGGACGGCCACGGGCGTCCGGCGGTCACCCCGCCTTCGCCCAGGGCCCACATCTCTGGGAGGTCTTCGCTGGCGCCGCCCGGGGCCACTCAAGCGAGCGAAGGCCTTGGCATCGCTCGGACGTGTGCAGTTTCCTTCGGTGAGGACCATCGAGGAGCCTCCTGGATAATCGGGCAAAGGAACACGCACGAAACCGACCAGTGCACGGGGAATGGACTTCTGGGCGACGGCAAGAGGCGCGGGGATTCGCGTCGATGAGCCCGTGGGTTCAGCGCCGACCCAGTCAGCGCCCAGGGCTGGAGGTGCCGCCGCGACGCTGCCACACCGGAGGTCCAGGAGCAGCTCATAAGTTAAAGCGCGGCCGCGCCCCCCGGAGGCCAGGGGCGGCGCTCGTGCCAGAGCGGCAGACAGGCCCAGACGACGGGCGGCGACGAGGCGGCGACGGTGCGGCGACGGCGGCAGCATGGCCGCCAGAGCGGAGAGCAGAAGTAAGAACCCCTGAGTGCAAGCACTGTTTGGGGAATCGGGCAGCGTCGTCGACCGTTTCGCCGCGAGCCGCAGCGTTGCAGACGGCGACGCCCCACGATGGATGCGGGGAGGGGCGTGGGATTGTAGGGGGTTCGGTGAGGAAGCCGCTGAAAGTAACGCGCGATGCAATATACTTATACTATGTCTGCGTCGCTTCCGAAAGGGGCGACTCGCGCACTCAGTCAGAAGTTAAGGAATAGGAGTTCCAGGACAGTACCGAAGCAGCAAACGGCACCTGTGCAGAGCAAGGGTGCTGAAGCTGCTGGCGTACGTGTTCCTGGTGAGCCTCATGTTGTCAACTTGGACCCAGACGATACAGACCTCAAGGAATAGCTGAAGAGAGCAGGAGTTGCCGCAGCCGACGACCCCGAGTTGCTCAAATTCCTCGTCGTCGTCGTCCTCCTCCTCCTCCTCCTTTCCCTCTTCCCTCCCCTACCCCCTGCCCTCCACTGCTCTCCCTTTCGCTCCTCCAATTCATTTTCTTACTCTTCTTTCCTGTCTTCTTCTTTTCCCCCTCGTCCTCCCCCTTGCCCCTGCGCCCCCTCTCCCCGCTCCTCTCCCCGCTTCTCTCTCCCTCCTCACTCCCGCCTCCGCACTCCCGCCTCCCCGCCGCCTCCCTGCCGCCTCGTCCCCCCTCCTCTATCCCAATCCCACCTCATGCTGCTCCTTCTCCTTCGCCCTCTCCTGGCCAAGCCAGGAGGGCATGTACACCGATCCTGTTCCCAGGATGGGCCTGGCCAGGACCGATGCAGGCGGAGAGTTGGCGTCCTTCTTCGGAGAAGGTCGACTTCATGCCTTTACTCCTGGTTGCAGTTTTTTTCATGCTCGCGGCCGCTGTCAGTGACGGAGCCTGTCCACTGATTGTGCTTCCCGCTGCAGCCCAGCCTTATTGCGCCGCTCATCATTAAGAACGATTTTTCGGCCAGCCGCTCCCGCACTCTTGCCGTGCTGCCCCATCGCCCGGACCCCAGGTGATTGACACCCTCGCCCGCGCGACAGCCATCCTGGACAGCATGGGATGGAGGAGGAGGAGGAGGAGGAGGAGGAGGAGGAGGAGGAGGAGGAGGAGGAGCAGGAGCAGGAGCAGGAGGAGGAGGAGGAGGAGGAGGAGGAGAGGAGGAGGAGGAGGAGGAGGAGGAGAGGAGGAGGGAGGAGCAGGAGGAGGGGGAGCAGGAGGAGGAGGAGGAGGAGGAGGAGGAGGAGGAGGAGGAGGAGGAGGAGGAGGTGGTGGGATCGGCTGCGCGAAAGTGGCCTCTCGCTGGAGTGACCTTGAGTGCGGGCCCACAGGGGCCACCCGAATGATGGCTTGCACGCTTGGACTTGCCCCCCCCTCACCTCCGCGCCCCCCTACAGGGCATTCTTGCCTGGGGGTCACTCCTGCGTGCAGCCGAAAACAGCATTTTTTTTTTTTTTTTTGTTCTCTCTCTCTCTCTCTCTCTCTTTCTCTCTTCTTCTTACTCTTGCTATTCGTATTCGTGTTAGTGTCATCCTTATTATTGTTTGTGGATGCTGGTATCATTATTAGTATTACTATTAGCACTTTAATATGATTATTATGATTGTATGTATTTATTCATTTATTTCTTTATTTATTTATCTGTTATGGCCATCTATTATTTATGACATATTAGTTATTATCTATACTTAGCTTTTTGTATTATTTAGTACTTATGATTTATTATTTTTTAGTTAGCTAATATTATTTAGTATCGTTACTATTGTTATGTTTATTATTATTCTTGTTGTCATTATGCCATTACTATTATTGTTAGCATTCCTATTTGTATTCGTATTAGTATTCATTTTATTCGTATTCGTACCAGTATCGTCAGAACTATCCTTGCCATTGTATGATTAGTAATAGTATCATGATTAGTATTGTTCTTAGTTTATTGGTGTTGCTATTGTTGTTATTGTTGTTGTTTTTGTTCTTATTTTCATGATTTGCAAGGAAAATCAAGTTTGGGCCACGTCAGTACGGTAGTCGATCTCCCACTCGAATCACCCCGAGGGGGCTTGCTCCTACGGCAGGAGGGCCGGCTCCCGGCCAGTATTGCAGGCGCAGGAGACCGAGAGAGTGAGCCTCGGCGGCCAACGGCGCTGCCGAGGGCAGGGGCCGCACCCCTCCCACGGCCAGAGCTCAGCCACGCGCAGAGGGGGGTGGGGGTGGAGGGTTTCTCCGAAGGGCTTAGGCGACCCCTCCTCCTCCTCCTCCTCCTCCTCCTCCTCCTCTCTCTCCTCTTTCTCTCCTCTTTCTCCTCTTTCTCCTCCTCCTCCTCCTCATCCTCTTTCTCCTCTTTCTCCTCTTTCTCCTCTTTCTCCTCCTCCTCCTCCTCCTCCTCCTCCTCTCCTCCTCCTCCTCCTCCTCCTCCTCCTCCCCCTCCCCCCCCCCTCCCGCTCCCTCTCCCTCTTCCCTCCTCCCCCCCTCCCCCTCCTCCTCCTCCTCCTCCTCCTCCTCTCAAGCAATCTGGGCTCGAACGCAAGTCCCTCGCCCCCGTGCGCAGGGCAGTTTCTCGCTCCGAACCCAGCCTCGGTACCTCCCCGTGGTGCTTGGGGCACACCACTTCTCTCGGGCTGAAGATCTGCCCGTCTCTCCCGTGCTAGAGTGGTGACGAAATCCGAGGTTTCCAGCATCCATGGCGCCATGGTCGACATGCCGCTCGTGTGGGCAGTGTGAATACAACGACAGACTCGAGCAGCGTGATCGTAAGTGTGCCCGTTGTGGACGCAAGGTGAAGCTCTACGTGCTGAGGCCCAAGAGTCCCAGTGCGCCGCCGAAGGGTATCATCAAGAACGTGAGCTTCGCCAAGGATAGTAAGGATAGTGATGCAGGTAGCAACCAGTCCACGCCCCGCAGCTCCAAGACGGGCAAGGGGACGCGTGGACAGGCTGGTGAATCATCAGCCCGCACCCTCCTCGAGCAGGCGATCGCTGCCGCGCAGGATCCCAAGTTGAAGGAGGCTTTGACGCAGCAGGTCGCCCAGCTCAAGCGCGAGGAGGCTCAACACCAGCAGCCCAAGGATGCGCTTCCATCTCTTCAGAGGGCTGACAGTGCTTGGAGGGATGCCAACAATCGCCATACCCAATCAGTGCAATCAGTCCTTCGCATTCGTCGGCAACTAGAGGCAGCGGAGCTCAAGGAGCGTCGTCTTGCCGAGGAGCTGGCGGAGGCGACCATCGTGAAGCAACAGGCCGCGCGTGCACTGGCAGCGGCCGAGGGAGTTGTGCCCAAGCCAGATGGGGAAGGCCGACGACAAGTGTGGCAAGCCCTTCGAGCTAGTGTACGACCACACGCTGTTCGACAATCTTGACGAGTTGGAATGCGAGGACTCCGAGAAGGAGACCTTGAGGAAGATTCATAGCGAGCTGCAGTCGGCCAAGACCACCCTCGATGGCAAGGCTGATGAGGTCACCATGATGCTCAAGAACGCCCAGGGCATGCGCCAGGCCATCAAGGACCGCTTCATGAAGAAGAGGCGCACGGCCGAAGGCCAGGCCGCACCCCCCGCAGCGCCGCAGCCAGGCGAGGCCGCGCCCGCAGCCAGTGGAGGCAGCGGCAGCGGCAGCCAGGCAGCGGCGGCGGCAGCGCCGCAGGCGCCCGAGGGTGCGGCCGCAGGCGCGGCTCCAGCAGATGTCCATGCAGAGCGAGTTCGTGCTGAGGCAGCCAAGCTCTCAGCCGCCAAGTTCCAGTCCCAGCAGCATCTGTCGGAGGACCCGGCCCCTGCATCATCTTGACTAGGGGTGGCATCGAATAGCACGAGCGATGACAAGTATGCGCAGCTTCTGTTTGGCAACGTTACCGCCATGGGGGAGAAGGTGTGGAACTTCGTCCGTAGGGCTCGTGAGAGTGACACCCATCAGATTTTTTGGTTTGTGGAGACGCACGTTTCCCGCACTGCCTTGCGTGAGTGGACGAAGAAGTCCCGTCAGTCTTGTCTCAGATTAGTTGCCAACCCAGCTCGGGCTACAGGCAAATCCACGACTGCGCGAGGATTCGAGAGAGCCACTGAAGGAGGTGAGTGGATTTTGGCCCCTGGACACTACCAGGTGCACTCACTTGCCCCCCAGCTGAATTTGCCAGAGTATCAGTTTGACGGCCAGTCGGCCACCGACGGCTTCACGGCAGTAGTTGTGCACATGTCAGGCTACTCGATCGTGATCATCACATTCTACGGTTTCACTTCGGTCGGCATTGCCGACGATAATATCGCTCGCTTCTCGAAGCTAGGAGCTTTTCTGTCATCACTCCAGTTGCCCTGGATAGTTGTGGGAGATTTCAACGTGTCTTCGACATCTCTTGCCGCATCGGGGTTTTCAGCACGAGTCGGGGGCGAGGTCGTGAAGGCTCCCATTGATTACACGTGCGACGCTGGAAAAAGTGGCAGTCACATTGATTATGTTGTGCGTAGCTTTGCAGCCGCCGCGTACCTTGCAGATGCGCAGGCGGCCCTGTCTGTCCCATGGAAGACCCGCTGTGGTTTGCAGCTGAGTCTCCGGTCGACTGCCAGCCAGCTACTCACACGCCGACTCGAGCTGCCAGCTCGCCTCCCTCAGGTGCCTAGGCCAGTCCGTCTTCCCACGCCAGGATCGAAGTCGCAGCGTGCCAAAGTTGAGCGCACAGCTGCCACTCAGCTTGCAGTCGAGAAGCGTCGCGATCGGTATCTAGAACTTTTTGGCGACCTCTGGAAGGCTGCCGACGATGACAACTTCGGATCAGGCACTTCCAGCGCGGCAGCTCCAGCTTCGGACCCAGACAGTGACGAATTGAATCAGCTCAGTGAGGACCCCCTCGACCATCTCTTGGATGGTTACGAAGAGGAGGACCCTTGGGCCAATGAGTCTTGTTTCCACCACCGCCCCAATATTTCGGAGCCCGCTGCCCAGCCCGCAACCAGCGGCGAAACCAAGGTGGAGCCCATTTCGTCAGAGCAAGGCAACGTGTCATCGAGTTCTATGGGGGCTGCCGTGACTACGTCCCCCATTGGACACGCCGTCGTGGACAGTGGAGTGCGTGTCGAGGCAGCGCCCAGCGGGGTGGAGCCCAACACTCGGCCTTTTGTCTGGAATCCTGAAGCTCATGTTTTCAAGTTACCTCAGTATGCTCCGTGCATTGAGTGGGGTCTGGTTCCTCCAGTGGATGCTTGTACACCGTCAGTTCCCAACGAGTCGACCACCCATCCCAGCGAGTTTCAAGAGCCGCCCCCCCCAAGGCTTGGAGAACACCGAGGCCAGCTTCTTTATCCCAGCCGAGACCTGGATCGAAGCCAGGACGGCGGTCGGGTTTATCCCTGAACACCAGTGCCCTCCCCCCATAGCTTTTGCCTCGTCCGTAGCCGCTAGGCTTGAACCCTCGTCCGTCGGCCCCGTCTCGGCTCTATATGCCTCGTGGGTGACGACGTTGGAAAGGGCGGTGTACGAGCATCACGGAGTGGACGGCCCGCCTTCGTTATCACGTGGCAGAGGGTATTCTTTCAAAGTCGTCGAACAACGTGTGCCTAATAAAGGTAGGTTAGTGCCGTATCGAGATGTGGTTGCTTCATGGTGGGAGCGAGCCCACACGGTTCTGCATAGACTAAACAATCATCGTGCACGGGGAAACGGCTATGCCCAACAATCTCAATTGCAAATTGCGTGTCGTAACTTGTTGGATGAGTCACCTGATCAGGCCCACAGGGGCCTACGCGAAGAAATCGACCCGTCTTGGGAGGTTTGGAAAAGTGTGCTGTCTCAGGGAGCTCCAGAAGACCAGTATAAGCTTGCAGATTTTGTTCTCTCGGCTAGGAAGATAGCAGCTCGCTGTCGGTGCCGTGCCATGCGAGCCTCGATTGCTGAGTTCCGAGATTGGATGGTACAGCCAGCTGCATCAGGCGTTTTGCATCGTGCGATGCGGCAAGAACCTTTGCCCTTAGACGAGGCTACAGTCGGCCAGCAAGTTGTATTTCACCCACGGGATATTGTTGATGCCAAAGCGAAGGTTTTTAGAGACCTCTGGGCCCCTGGACCTCTGGAGGACACCAAGGTTCTGGAAGCTTTCGAACGAGCCCGAGTCGAGGCTCGTCAGGGCCCCCTGGAGCCAATCTCAGTTTTAGACATTCGCCAGGCAGCCCATGCGATGCGCCCTCGTGCAGGCATGGGTGTCGATGTCTTGTCGCCGACGGACGTCGAGCGACTGCCAGATGTTGCCCTGGACGAGTTAGCCCGCATGTATGGAGTGATTGAGGAGACCCTCACACGGCCATCACAGTTGGGATTAACCATAGGGCGCATGATCCCAAAAAAAGCCTCAGGGGACAGGGTCATAGGGCTGCTCACGATGGTTGCTAGAATTTGGAGTCTCACACGCGAACCCTTGGTCAAGACTTGGGCCAACGAGTCCGAGCCCATGTGGGACGCTGCGATTTCAGGAAATGCTGCTTTACGAGAGGCTTTTATGAGAGTCTGCGAGGAAGAGGTTTCAGGCACCCTTGGGATTCCCACGGGCCACGGGCTTCTGGACATCCAGGGTTTCTACGACGCCATGTAATGGTTTCTACTTATACTTGCAGCAATGCGTTTGGGATTTCCGTCTGTTGTTCTGGTGCTAGAGCTTGTGCAATGCCTCATGCCTCGTGCTGTAGGTCAATGTGGAGCTTTCGCCGAACCCATACTCCCAACGAGAAGCATCGTGCGGGGTTTACGAGGAGGGACCAGGTTTGCGAGGTGCCTTACGTATTTTATCGTATCAAAGATTACTACCGCACATCCAGGTATGGGTTCGAGGATCTGGATAGATGATCTATCTCAGCGGGTCCATGCATCACGAGGACAGCTGCGCCAAAGATTACTATCAGGTCTTTTGGACACCTGTCGAGCCCTTCAGCGCGAGTCTTTGACCGTTTCACCAAAGAGCATCATCCTGTGCTCTAACATTGCCGATGCGAAGTATATCTCCATGAAACTCCGAGTTGCAGGTTTTGTTGTCCATCCCCAATCTCAGGCTGGATATCTCGGGGTGGATTTGGGAGGAGGTATCCGACATGCTCGCCAACAACGGTCGAACAGAGTGGTGAAAAGGCAAACAGATGCATCGGAAAGTAGTCGGTTTTGCACGTGCAGCGCGGCGGTACGTCGTTACCAGCAAGCTGACAAGAGTCGGCACCCTGTCTGCCCAGCTCTACGGGCACCAGTTGCACGGAGTCTTTGGCACCGCTATGCTAGGGGCTCGACGGCAGCTTGGAGCGGCTTGCGGCACTGGCAAGAAGGGCCGATGTTTGACAACGCTGTTGGATATCAGATGCCCTGGAGGGGACCCAGCACGTATTTTGCCAAGAGCCTGCCTCGACCTCTGGCTTCGCCAGTGGCTGTCGCTGCCGACAATCAGGCCAGGCATATCTCGGGCTTGGCCCAAGTTATTGGAACGTTTGCGAAGTACCCCTGAGAATCAGAGATCTCGGTGTGTTCGGGGTCCCACTGGTGCCGTTATATTGTATTTGCTCCAAGCAGGATGGGACCCCGCGGAGCCCTCGCATTGGAACGCTCCAGGGGATTGTGATGATTTAGCTGCTTGGCGCTTCCCATCTTCAGAGTTGGCTGGAAACCTGATCGAGGATAATCCAGAACCCCTCTTGGACGATTTCGACCAGACCATCCAGAATCAGCTTTGGAGGAACGCTTCTCAACACTATTGTGGAGAAGGTATGCAGTGGGGGATCGATAATTATTCATTACGTCGCCTGTTGAAGCAGCTGCTTTTCGCTCCACACGGGAATCGTTTAAGTGAGTTGCTTGTCTCAGTGGCCACAGGCGGAGCCTGGCCACGAGTGCGCCGACATGAGCAGCTGAAAGGAAACCAAGATGTTTTATGTCCCAGGTGTTCCGAGGAGCCCGAGACCCCATTCCACAGGTTCTGGGGATGTGCTGAGAACAGGGGCTGTAAGGCATATACAGATTCTGAATCGCTCACGCCGGCAGCGTACGCAGGTGCAGATTCTGAAGCATGCTTTTGGCTGCGGGGCCTCATCCCAGCAGCGTGGACTGCAGTGCCGCAGCCTCCGTCTCAGGAGAACTGGCACATTCGAGGCAGCTCGTCGAACGATCTTGAGGGATGTCTTGGTGAAGGGTCCTTTCACGAGCCCATCATTGTGTTTGGCGATGCAAGTGGAGGTAGAAACGCTGCAGATCAACGTTTCATTCGTGTCGGGCTCGGAATTGTTGCTTTTTACTCGTTTGAACCCTGCCGCATCCGTTCGTCGGTCAGTGGGCCCTTGGTCGGGAAATCTCAGTCGGTGCCCCGAGGCGAACTCAGAGCTCTTTTGTTGGCTGTGGAATGCACGCGTGGTTTCGTTTGTTATGTGACTGACAACGATGCTGTTGCCCAGGGCTTTTATTCTGGTTTGTACAAGAGGCCCTCTGGGCCCAATGCTGACCTATGGTTGACCCTGGGAAAAAAGTTGCAAGCCCGTCCGACCCAGTTGAGTGTTCTGTTCGTCAATTCACATTTGACTGCTGATGATATCATTGCGCGCGAGGTCCCATCCTGGCTCGCCCAGGGCAATCTTGCAGCCGACGAGGTCGCCAGTGCCGCGGCCCACTGTGCCCCTTCCCCGACGAGGCGAGGGCGCGGGCCTACCAGGCCGAGGCGACGGCCGCCTTGGTGCGGCACCGCCTCGTGCGCGCCACGGCGGACGCGCTGGAGGCCGAGGGGCGGGGTGGGAACGGCGCCGTGAGGAGTGAGGACCCGCCTCCTCCTCCTCCCCCCGCCCCTTCCCTCGTCTCTTCTTTCTGCTCCGCCCATTCTCTCAGTGATGATCGTAAGAGTTGTTTGCGATGCTGTGGCTCAGCATCACTTGCCACCCAGAAAGAGTGGTGGCAGTCCGTTTGTTTCCAGCCCGTCACGCTTGACAGTAAATATGCTGCAGTTCCTCGGGGGGGGCGGCTCCATATTGCTGGGGGTTGGATCGATTCGACACATGCGATGCGATTGCAGCTTGCACACAAAGTCTGGTTCTGCCGTGGCTGTGGTCGATATGGCAGCCAACAGAATCGTGTTCTTAGCAAGCCGTGTGACTTTCAGATCCCTGCTCACCGACGAGAGTACTTCGATCGAATAGAGCAGGGGAAGTGGCCAAAGCTCCTTAGCAAAGCTGAGCAGCGAAGCCGCCTTTAGTTTGTAAACTCGACTACGTCGAATAGCTCGATACTCGATACTCCTCCTCCTCCTCCTCCTCCTCCTCGTCCTCCTCCTCCTCCTCGGGTCGCCTACGGCCCCGGGGTAAACCGTGCAGGTAGGGGGGGGGGGGGAGGCTTCTTAGAAGCACCCTGCTTCTTTGATGGCGCGGCCTTATCTAAGTATACATGCAGGGCCGGCGCCTCCTGAAACGCAGCCTCCTCCTAAGAAGCCTTCCCCCCTCCCCCAGTCCCCCCTGCGCGCGCCGCCAAATAGCGGCGCGGGCGCCGAGGACGTGCGAGAGCTGAGCGGCGCAGAGCAGCAGACCGACCTGCCTGGCAGCGGCAGGCGGAGCTGCGGGAGAGAGGGGACTCGGTGAGACGTGGCGTGTGCTCCGATGCCGCCGGCGTGCTGTCCCGTCGTGGGGCCACGTCGGCGTCGTGAGCCAGTGAGTGGACCCTCCGCCCCCATCCCCAACGAGAGAGAGAGCGAGAGAGAGAACAAAACATATGAGAAGAGGGAGCGAGGTAGCGCGAGGGAACGAGCGAGCGAGCGAGTGAGGGAGCGAGGGAGGGAGGGAGCGAGGGAGGGGGAGGGAGGGGGGGAGGGAGAGAGAAGGAAAGGCCCGTGGAGGCGGAAGGATGGGCGGGAGGCGGGAGGAGAGAGGCCCGAGAGGTCAGACGGACGGCCAAGAGAGAAGAGAGAAAGAGAGGGAGACCCAGCGGTTCAGAAGGACTGGCAGCAGACGGCCTCCCAGCACCCTCATCCGGCCATCGCAGGAGAGGGAGATGGCCAAGATCGGCGCTGCGTCGATGCTGCAGCTGAAGAACGCCAAGAGCCTCACGCAGGCGCTCGGAGCCATGGTCCAGGCGCGCCCAGCGCCAGCGCGCGCACGCGGCGGGCGGGAGCTTGGCTCTCCGGCGGCGCGGCGCCCCTCCTGGAGGGCCCAGGTTGCCCAGCCGTCGCGGAAGAGAGGAGGACGAGGAGGAGGAGGAGGAGGAGAAGGAGGAGGAGGACGAAGAAACCACAATGAGTAGCATGCTGGGGCAAGGGGAAGGAGTCCGAATCGGTGTCGGAATCGGAGTCGGCGCTGGTGCTGTAGTCGGAGTCGGAGCTGGGATCAGGCTCGGGATCGAAGTTGCAGCAGGAGGAGGAGGAGGAAGAGGAGGAGGAGGAGGAGGAGGAGGAGGAGGAGGAGGAGGGGGAGGAGGGGGAGGAGGAGGAGGATGTTGTCTTCTTTTCCTCCTCCTCGTCCCTGGTGCGCCGCAGGCGTCCCTCCTCAGTTCTACGGACGCCACCAAGCTGCGGGGCCCCTAGCGTCGTCCTTGCGGCGCGGCTGGAGGTGGGGGGGCCAGGTGCGGCGCCCCGGCCTCCCTTCCTGCACTCCTGGGGCCGCAGTGGCAGTCATGCGCGGCAGTGGTGTGGGGGGGGGGACCGGCGGTTGGGACTCCCCTCCTGCAATGAGGGGGATTACAATGAGATGGGGAGGGGGGAGCAGGAGTGGGAGGAGGAGGGAAAGGAGGAGGATGAGGAGGAGGAGGAGGAGGCGGAGGAGGATGAGGAGGAGTGTGATGATGACGAGGATGCTGCTGCTGAGGAGGAGGATGAAGAGCAGGAGCAGAAGGGGGGGGGGCGTAGGAGGAGGAGGACGAGGAAGAGGAAGAGGAGGAGCAGGGGGAGGAGGAGGAGGAGCAGGAGGAGGAGGAGGACCAGTGTAAACCCAAGAGTCATCAACGATGTTGGAATACACCCTCTCTCCAAGCTCCCTCTTAATAGGCCCCATACAACGGTTCATTTCCACTGAAGGAATGCCTCGTCGGAAGACAACCGTTTGAAGACCCTGAAGTATGCCATAACATTATTCTCGGGAGGGGCTCCAACGCCACGGATCAACCTGACTGTTAGTCGTGAACGCCATCTCTGGGACTTCAGCACCGCGAATCAACGTAACAGTGGAACCCTCATCATCCTGGACCTTTCCAAAACACCATTCCTGGTACGTTGATCATGGGAATCCGTGAAACTCTTTCAAATTTTAGCACGAATGTGCGCGGCGCTAAACCGAGAGCCACATTTTTAAAAGGAACCGCCCTCAATTCGTGAAACTCGTGCACATTCTTAAAACGAATGTGCGCGGCGCGAAGGCGAGAGCCACATTTTGAAAGCCACCCGCCCTCAACCCGTGAAACTCTTGTAAACTTTTGAAAGGAATGTGCGTGGCGCTGAAGCGAGCGCCACAGTTAGAAAACTACCCGCCCTCAATCCGTGAAGCTCTTGCAAATTTTTAAAAGGACCATCAGCCAGCGTTGACTCCAAATAGATAGGAGGACAGGAGGAGGACGAGAGCAGGATGGGAGCGGGAGCAGGACGTGAGGAGGACAGGAGGAGCAACATCAAGCAAGCGCAAGAACCACGCGGAATCAAGCAAACGCATGCGAGCATAGGCATAGGTATAGGCATAGGCATAGGCATAGGCATAGGCATAGGAATAGGCGTAGGCATAGGAGTTAGGGGGGAGGCATATGCATTGGCATAGGCATAGCAATAGGAATTTGGGGGGCATAGGAATTAGGGGGGGAACGGACCAATTAGTGGGGTTTGAGTTAGAACTCCTATAGGGCAAGCCTATTTGGAGAATGTACGTGGCGCTAAGGTGAGAGTCACATGTTGAAAACCACCCGCCCTCAATCCGTGAAACTCTTGCAAACATTTAAAAGGAGTGCGCGTGGCGCTAAGGCGAGAGCCACATTTTGAAAACCACCCGCCCTCCATCCGTGAACCTGCTGCCACTTTGGAATACTCAGGGTCATAAGTGGTGAGGAAGTCTCAGGCGAACAGGCCTCGGGGTGCGACATGGAGAGGTTATGTGCAAGGGAAAGGAATGGAGGAGGAGGAGGAGGAGGAGGAGGAGGAGGAGAAGAAGGGGGAGGAGAAGGGGGCGGGGGATGATGCTGATGATGATGTTGATGATGATGCTGATGCTGATGATGATGATGATGCTGATGATGATGCTGATGATGATGCTGCTGATGATGATGATGCTGATGATGGTGATGATGATGGTGATGATGATTATGGTGACGATGGTGATGATGATGATGATGATGACGATGATGATGATGATGATGATGATGCTGACGATGATGATGATGATGATGGTGATGGTGATGGTGATGGTGATGATGATGATGATGATGATGATGATGCTGATGATGATGATGATGATGATGATGATGATGGTGATGATGATGATGATGATGCTGCTGATGATGATGATGATTGACGATGATGATGATGCTGATGATGATGATGCTGATGATGTTGATGATGATGATGATGATGCTGATGATGATGAATTATGATGATATGAATTAGATGATGATGATGATGATGATGATGATGATGATGATGATGGATGATGATGATGATGATGATGATGATGATGATGATGATGATGATGATGATGATGATGATGATGATGATGATGATGATGATGATGATGATGATGATGATGATGATGAGGATGAGGATGAGGATGAGGATGATGACGATGATGATGATGATGAGGAGGAGGAGGAGGAGGAGGAGGAGGAGGAGGAGGATGAGGAGGAGGAGGAGGGGGATGAGGAGGAGGAGGAGGAGCAGCTGGAGGAGGAGGCGGAGGAGGGGGAGGAGGAGGAGGGGGAGGGGGAGGGGGAGGAGAAGGAGGAGGAGAGCGGGGGAAGGGTCTACCGAGGGATCCAATGGGCGTCAGATGGTTAGGAGAAGGCCGGTTAGGATGAGGATGATGCTGAGGATGATGAAGATGATGATACTGATCATGATGTTGATGATGATGATGAGGATGAGGATGCGGATGCGGATGAGGATGACGACGCTGCTGCTGATGATGCTGCTGATGATGATGACGAGGAGTAGGAGGGGGATGATGATGAGGAGGAGGAGGATGAGGCTGATGATGATGACAATGGCAACGGCGATGATCATGCTGATGCTGCCGCTGATGATGATGTTGATGATGATGCTGATGGTGCTGATAATGATGGTGATGATGATTTGATCATGATGATGCTGATTATGATGATGATGATGATGATGATGATGATGATGATGGTGACGAAAACGGTGATGGTAATGCTACTACTAATGATAAGAATGTTGCTGCTGCTGTGGCCATGATGATGCTGATGCTGATGCTGATGCTTCTGCTACTGACCATGAACATATTAAGGGCACTAACACGACTAATAATGATCATCATACCTCAAACCATACACATACTGCCATACTGCTGCTGCTGATGATGCTGAGGCGGTGGAGGAGGAGGAGGAGGAGGAGGATGAGTATGAGGATGATGATGACGATGACGATGCTGATGATGATGCTGATGATGATGGTGCTGGTGGTGGTGATGAGGATGCTACTGACGATGATGAGGCTGACGATGATGATGATGATGTTGATGCTGACGATGATGATGATGCTGATGCTGATGATGATGATGATGATGATGATGATGATGCTGATGATGATGATGATGATGATGATGATGATGATGACAATGATGATGATGATGATGCTGCTGATGATGATGATGATGATGGTGGTGATGATGACGATGCCGATTATGATGATGATGATGATGATGACGATGATGAGTATGCTGATGATGATGCTGATGATGATGATGATGATGATGATGATGATGTGGGTGATGCTGCTGATGCTGATGATGCTGCTGCTGATGATGATGCTGACTATGTGCTGATGGTTATGATGAGGCGGACGATGATGTTGATGCTGACGATGATGGTGTTGTTGGTGGTGATGATCATGATGCTGCTGATGATGATGGTGAGGCGGACGATGCTGATGATGATGATGATGATGATGATGTTGATGATGGTGGTGACGATATGATGATGCTGACGACGATACGGATGATGCTGATAATGCAGATTACGATGATGACGATGATGCTGATGATGCTGCTGATGATGGTGATGATGCTGCTGATGCAGATGATGATGCTGATTATGATGATGATTATGATGCTGATATTGATTATGCTGATGCTGATGACGACGATGATGATGACGATGATGATGATGCTGATGATGATGATGATGATGATGATGATGATGCTGATGCTGATGATGATGGTGATGGTGGTGGTGGTGGTGATGATGATAAGGACGATGCTGGTGATGATGGTGATGATGGTGGTGATGATGATGATGATGATGGTGGTGGTGGTGGTGGTGATGGTGGGGAAGGAGGGGGGGGAGGAGGTCAAGAGCGGGGGGCGGTCGTGTACGATGTTGATTTGTTTTTTTGTTGGATGAGGATGAGGATGAGGATGATGACGCTGATGATGATTATAAGGAGGATGAGGAGGAGGAGGAGGAGGAGGAGGAGAAGGACCCGTGTAAAGCCAACGATGCTGGAATAAACCTTCCCTCCAAGCCCCCCCTTCATGGGCCCCTACAGCGGGTCAGTTTTACTGAGGGAACTGCCTCGTTGGAAGACAACTGTTTGAAGACCCTGAAACATGCCAAAACAATGAGCTCGGGAATCCAACGCCACGGATGAAACTGACTGTTGCGCCTTGACGATCCTGAATCGTGCCCGAACGCCGTCCTGGGACTTGAACACCGCGAATCAACATACCTTGTGCACCCTCATAAGCTTGAACCCTTCCAAGACACAATGTCTGGTTCGTCGATCATGGGAACCCTTGACTTTCTTGCAACCTATATAAACGAATGTGCGCGGCGCTAAGGCGAGATCAAGATTTTGAAAAGGAACCACCCTTAACCCGTCAAACTCTTACATTTTTTAGACGAATGTGCGCGGCGCAAGGCGAGAGCCACATTTTGAAAAACATTCGCCCTCACTCCGTGAAACGCTTGCAATTTTTTAAGACGAGTGTGCGTGGTGTTAACCACCCTCCCTCCATCGGTGAAGCTGTTGCCAAGTTTTAAGCGTCAGAGTCATACATGGTGAGGAAGTCTCAGGCGAAACGCCTGGCCCGCCCTAAAAACTGCCCTCGGGTTGCGACGGGGAGAAGTTATCTATATGGAGAAGGCATGGAGCACGAGGAACAGTGTCTTGTAGCATTGGATGATCTAATGGGTGTCAGGGGAGTATGCTGTATTCTGCTTGCCTGACCTCTGAAGCTGCGAGACACGCAGAGTGGCGCCGCCTGCCGCTGGCATGCGCCGAGGACGGCGCTGCTTCAGAGCATGCAGGGCTCCGCTGACCAGGACAGAGATGGAGGAGGGGGGAAGGAGATGGCCTCCCTCCTGCTCCTTCCTCTCATTCCCTTTCTCCTCGTCGTCGTTCTCCTCCTCCTCCCCCTCCTCCCCCTCCTCCTCCTCCTCCGCCCCTTCTTCCTCCTCCTCCTTCTCCTCCTCCTCCTCCTCCTCCTCATCATCATCATTATCATCATCATCCCCCCTCTCCTCGCTCTCCTCATCATTCTCCTCCTTCACTACCTCGATCTCTCCTTGGTGCGGCTACTGCTGCTGCTATTGCGGCTGCTACTGCTGGTGCTACTGCTGTTATTCAGGTGGTTTACGCTATTCCGCCGACCGCCACAAGGAGTGAGTGTTTGAGACGATCGTGGAAGTTATATCTTGGGTCACGAGGCTCTTTGATGCATATGAAAGGGCTCTTATAATGTTTCTCGGGGGCCTCTTGAAAGAGCTTTTAGGGTTATCTGGGAGGCTTTTGGGGGCCTCGTGGGAGCCTCCGGGGACCTTCTTGAGGGCGTCTTGGGGGGTCTCGAGGGGCCTCGTGGCCCTCTAGGGGACTCGAGGGACCATCTTGGTGGGAAAGGCTCGACACGTCAGTTCGTATTCCCCGCTTGGGCTTTCTTGGAGCCCTCTTGGGGCCCTCCAGGGGCTGTCTTGGGCCGTCTTGGGGGGCCCCTGGGGCTGTCTTTAGCCCCTCTTGGGCCGTCTTGGGACCTTCTTGGAGGCATCATGGGCCGTCCTGGGACGATCTTTGGGGCCACTTGGGCCGTCGTGTTCGCTGTCAAAACGTAAAATACGAATGTGCTGCGCATGTATGTTTTGCCGAGGGAATGAAACAATTTTGGCCTCTTGGGGCCCTCTCGGCGATCCTCTGGAGACGCTTTTAGGCTGTCTTGGGGGCCTCGTGGGCCAACTTGCAGCCATCTTGGATCGTCGTGGAGCTGCCCTGGGCCGTCATGACGCTCTCTTCGACTGTCTTGGCGCTCTGTCTGGGCCCTGTCGGACTGGACTGTCTTGGGGCTTTTTGGGGGCTCCGGAGGTCCCGGGGGTGCGTTGACGAGCTCGTGCCCCCCCCTCCAGATTTGCATTTTGGACCCCAGGGGAGGGGGAAAGGGAGGAGGAGGACAGCCAAATGCCTCACATGACTTTTCACCCATGGCAAGCGGGGGTCGGCGGACTACTGTTGCTTCTCCTTTCCCTCCCCCTCTCCCTCCTCCTCTTCCTCCTCCTCCTCCACCTCCTATTCCTCCTCCGTCTCCACCTGGACGTATCCTTCCTCGCCCTCCTCCCTCCCCTCTCTCTTCTCCTCCCCCTCCCCCTCCCCCTAATCCTTCTCGTTTCGCTCCTCTTCTCCACCTCCCTCTCCGCCTCCTCTTCCTTTTGCTGCTCTTCCTCCCTCCAGCAGGGTGACGATGATGATGACGATGATGACGAGGAGGAGGAGGAGGAGGAGGAGGAGGAGGAGGAGAAGAAGGAGGAGGAGGAGGAGGAGGTCCTCCGGCTGCCCTCTTCCCCCGCTTCGGGAAGGAGATATAACGGATAAAAGGGGTTGTGGGGCGTGTTTTTTTTGTTTTTTGTTTTTTTTGTTTGGTGTGTGTGTGTGTGTGTATGTGTGTGTGTGTGTGTGTGTGTGTGTGTGTGTGCGTTCGTGCGTTCGTGCGTTCGTGCGTGCGTGCGTGCGTGCGTGCGTGTGTGTGTGTGTGTGTTGCTCCTTTCCTCGGGCGCCACTTGCGCCTTGTGTGATTCTCACTGCCTGGCCCACCGCTCTGTCATTGCTGCTTCCTCTCGCAGCTCGTCGCTGTCGCTGTTTCATCCTGACGCCTGCCTTCCTCCAGGGCCTCATCTGTCTGCTCGTTCGCCCCCTCTCCCCCTCGCGGCTCGCTTTGGTGGCCATCGCTGCGCCCCTCCCTTTCTTTCGCGCTGTGCTGCTTCTCCCCTTCTCCCCGCCTGCTCGTCGTCCTCCCCGTCGCTTCCTCTACCCCTTGCGTAGTCCCCAGCGAGTGGCGCTGTTTATCCCCCTTCTGGGCGGGTCCAGTGCCCCCATGCCGCGTGACCTGGGCCTATCGCGCTCAGTCTCTTCGCTTGGCTTTCTACGCCACGCTGCCGCGCGCGTGGCCGCGACGCTGGACAAGAAGGAGTGTGTGTGTGTATGCGTGTGTGTGTGTGTGTGTGTGTGTGTGTGTGTACAGTGAGCGGCTTGAATAAGGAACACTTACGTTTCAAAAGGGGCTCGGTCGTTCCTTAGGCTTGCATGCATTATCCGTAAGGGCTTCGCCCCATGCCGCCAGCCCCCTGTCTCGGATAATGGTAGATGCAAACGCTAAATCATAAGGTCTGGGCGCCGCCGTGAAGCAGTGTCGAGACCTTTTTGTTTTTCGACCCCGACCCTACGGATCTGCGAGAGGGGTGCGACCGAATTTCGGAAATGTGGCAAATCCCTTGTGTTTTTGAACCCTGACCCTACGGATCTGCGTGAGGGGTGCCGCCGAATTTCAGAAATGTAGCAAATCTCTTGTGTTTTTGGACCCTGACCCTGTCGATCCGCGTGAGGGGTGCTACCGAATTTCAGAAATGTGGCACTTCCCATTTGTTTTAGGACCCTGACCCCGCCGATCTGTTTGAGGGGTGTTATCGAATTTCAAAAATGTGGCAAATCATATGTGTTTTTTGACTTAGACCCCGCCGATCTGCGAGAGGGGTGCCACCGAATGTCAGACATGTGGCAGATCCCTTGTGTTTTTGGACCCTGACCCCGCCGATCTGCGTGAGGGGTGCCAGCAAATTTCAGAAATCTGGCAAATCCTATGTGTTTTTGGACTTAGACCCCGCCGATCTGCGAGAGGGGTGCCACCGAATGTCAGACATGTGTCACATCCCTTGTGTTTTTGGACCCTGACCCCGCCGATCTGCGTGAGGGGTGCTACCGAATTGCAGAAATGTTGCAAATCCTTTGTGTTTTTGGACCCTGACCCCGCCGATCTTCGGGAGGGATGCCACCGAATGTCAGAAATGTAGCAAATCCCTTGTGTTTTTGGACCCTGACCCCGCCGATCTGCGTGAGGGGTGTGTACCCACTCCAGCAATTCAGAGCACACGCTCAGGGCGTGCCAAACCTGCCCGTTTGGGCCTCCCCCCCCTCGCGCGGTCCATCAACAAGGAACAGTAAGCAGCAAGAAGCAG